TTACAGAAAACGACAGCGAAACCGTCCCTCCGTTTTTCCACGTGCATACACGTGTACTACTTTACCGATAGTACGGCGTTGCCCCACATTTTTTCTTTTCCCACTTTGGAAGCATCGGGAACATCTATTCCGCGTCTAGTCTGAAAAGCAGCTACGGCAGCTAGTCGTATAGAAGCCGAGTCTACGTATATACGTGTGTACAGTACGGAATTGGTGCTAAAAGCGGGTCGTGAACATACGAACCTGGTGGAGGTCCACGTGATCCCTGCTCGTTTCCGCTCCCTCTCACCCGAATTTCTCCCGGGAGAGTGATTATTAGAAATTCCAGGTGCTATGCCCACCTGCTTCTTTTCTTTCCCTTTTACATTTCCTTCCCTCTAACCTTTTTTGTTAAAAACACCTTCGGTACTCTCTGTTTTTATCGTTGTTCGGTGAACACGCTCACCGAACTCGAGAACGCGGCGTCCGCGATTGCAAGACAAAATGGCCGGCGGTCGCATGCTGCGATCGTAAGGGACGCTCTTTGGAAAACGATTCTTTCCTCATGCAAACATTGAATTTCGTTTGTCTTGCAGCCACAGAATATTCTAATGAATTCGGTTCTCGATAGCAGCGAATCAGTGTTGCGAGTCGATTTAGTAATCCTAATTCGCGTGCATGCCAAATTTCGAATTTCTTTCAATGGAATCGTTTTGTTTCCTCGATTCTGTCGAATTCCCGACGGACCGAAGAGATCGATCGTTACGCCTAGGCTAACCAGACTATCTAAAAGCGACTTACATTACAGAAAGAAAGATCGTACTCTCAGCTGGATGCACATACACGAACCTCCTACGCCTAGTGAATCATCTATGACTAAGGTTGTATCATATGTACAGTCTACCTAGGATCTAATTTACGCAAGCGAGACGTGTCTGTCGATGAATATTCAGGCTTCAGCGTTACTGGCCAGAGCGCGCGGCCGCGGCAGGACATGTTCCGTCGTCGATCGGCTCCGTTCTTTCCCGCCCGGAGACGTTGAATAGAGAATGCGCGCGAGCGGTCTCGAGTGGGCTCGTTCGAGATCAATCAAGGATAAAAATTGCCTCCGTGTGTCAAGAATCCGTCCATTGTCTCCGAAACGCGAGCCTCTTCGAAGTACAGGGCGATTTCGAGTCGGAACGAACAGTGTTTGCGATTATGTTGCTCGATAACCGATCAAGGAAGAACAACATAGCGGCGTGTATATTGGGAAAGATAAATATTAACTGTTTTCTGACTATATTGTTACTAGAAGATTACAATCGTGGTGCGATCTGTTAAACCGCACTCAAAAGATTTCCACTGGAAATATTCAATATTTTCCGACGAGATAGATGATATTGTTTGAAACTGATCTAACGATAATTCGCAGATAAATTAAGCGACAAAGCTATTTCATTTAAATATTTTATGTAATAAAATTTTACCCTTTGCAGACGAATGTCGGCATTTTGAGATGAAATGTTCATATTTGGAACACTAAGGCGTACGAGAGATTTAATTACTCGAACATCTAGCAATCACATTGATTAAGCGATAGATAGATAGTTTAGCTTCTGTTGAAGGTTTTGTATATTTCTAAGAACCTCCGTCCGCAAAGGGTTAATTTAAAATACTAAATATTCGACTTCATAGTTTCGTGTTAAATCAAGACTGAGTCACCTTTCGAGTGCAAAGGGTTAATAACTAATTTATCTCTATTAATAATTAATCTGTTAATCATTCATTTTATCCAAATAAATCTATAATTGATAATTGAATATTCCTTCTTTCAAACTGTACATAAAAAATTCGAGAAAAAGATTAACCTTGTTCACGCAGTCTGAACTAAACCAGAACAGATCTACTAACAATGTGAGAATAAATTCTCGAAAGAATTCACGAGTTACCTCCGAATCGCCCTGTATCTCCACTTGAAAGACAAACTCCGTTTCACTCGACACTCGCCGAGAACGCAAGCCGGAGAGCAATAAACGAATATCATTCGAAAAGGAAGGAACGAAAATCTCGCGAGAAGATCGAATTTTTAACCGGAGCTTTACGTAACGGGTGGCCGAGAAATTTCGGTGAACAAAATTCCACGCGATCGATGTTCTTTGATGCGGCGGAGCATCGTTTCGGCGAACACTGTATTGCGACGTGCTGGCGATAAATCAATACGATCCCAGGAGAGGCTACGCCACTGCGATCGTGTGTAAATTCCGCGTATCTTGCACGCTTGTGCTGCTACGCGAGAGGCGCACAGTTAATGAATAAAAGAGAAGATAGAGATAGACAGAGACAAAGAGATAGACAAAGTGAAGAGAGAGAGACAGAGTGAGAAGAAGAGAGAAAGATAGAGAAAGTTGGAGAAAGAAAGAAAAAGATACGTATTACGGCACGTAGTATAAAGAGTTTCAGCGGCAAGCATTGCGGATACGGCATACGATCTATAAAAGCGTTTCTCGGGCGGCTGCGAGCTCTAACGCCAGACGTACGACACTCGAGAAGAAAAGAAAACGGACGCTACAATTGTTTTCTCTCATTACGGTTGTTCTTCCCTTCGGTCACGAGACCTGATTAAATTTCTCCGTGCCGCTGAAGGATAATTGCAGACTGAACTCTGTTGTCTCGCAAATCTAATCCAGACTGTGCATTAATTGAGGAAAAAATACATTAAAACGAACGTCCCTGCCAGCGATCGCGCTCCCCGTTAACGACCAACTCTTTTCTTCCGTAATTTAGAACCCCGACAATGAACGTTACACCTTGAAAGATTTTGTTCGGTAGTTTTTCTTGAATTTATTTAATTTATGCGAACGGTAATTGGATTTTGAACCTAATATTCATATTGGGAAACATTGAATTGGATTGTAAGTTGTCGAGCCCGTTGTTACTTTTGACCGGCGTCACGCGTTGAGACGTTCGCTACCAGCGTTATATATTTGTGACGATCGTAATCGTATATTTTATAGAATGAAAATGAAATTAGTCCTATGGATATTGTTGTTAGAAATGATAAACTACATTATATTTAGCAACTCAATGACTCGTTTCAATTCAATTTTTCTAATATTTTGTTTAGATTTCTTAGATTGAAGAAAATATAACTGAGGAGACCGTCACCGAAATAAGTATTGGTAGCGAACGTGTTAACACATTGACTGCCAAGTTAGTCACCGATAACCGGAGCTTCCAAATTACTTGAAGACAATTATAATTTCTCAAGCAACTGACGTCGAATGAAAATTTTCAATAGTAAATAGCTAGATAATAATGTAATCTAATAATCACGATACCAAAAGGAAAGTAATCACTCCTTTCTACCTCTGCTATAAAAGAATAATCGATACATAAAACTCTTACGTTTTTCGTAGGAATCAACGCGTTAAACGAAATGATCTGCGCACCTACGCGATAATCAATGTTCGTTCATTATAATAACTTCTCACCTCGATCGAAAAGTTCATGTATTTACGTTCAATTATTTTTATGGCAAATAATGCTCTTAGTAAAAATACATGCAGAAGAGAAGGTGCTGTTGAAACCAGAAGTATTCGTGGTAGAAATGAAAGAGGAACGTGAACTCCATTTGTTCCTTCACGATAAAACACATGTGATTATTCGAATAAAAGCTGAACTGAAAGCGTGTTCAAGTTTTCTCGTCAAGCGCCGTACTCGCTCAGCAAAGCTAATTAGAATGCGTGTGTGCATCACGCCGACGAACCGCGATCGAGTCTCCTTAGAAATCATTGAGATGACTTGATCCCGACCGATCGGCCAATCGCTGCATTATCATCGAGATCTGAGAATATTTACCTGACCCAGTAAACAAAAGCATACACGATCCGACGTGTTACGTGCGAGTACATTCGTACACGTGGATTCGAATACCGTCTAGATACGAGAATTACTTTGAGGAAGCGCACAGGCGGGTCTCGCTTTACGATCGTGTCGGTAAGGCGTCAAGGCACTTGCGACGAAGCGCATGATATACTCGGTGGCCCTTTACCAGCGACACTGCCAGCGATCCGACAATTCTCCGAGGAAAAATAAATGAAAACTATGAAATGAAATGCTCGTTAACCTTTTGCGGTCGATTGTCCAGTATCACTGGACATATTCCATTGACACACTTATAACGGTTCTTCAATTGCAATTCACGTAGGAAGTTGTTTTAAAAGATACCATATGTTAGCTAATTTTAAATTATAATTTGTTTTCATAAGCAAACAAATGAATACACTACAATTGCACTTTTTCCATTTATTCAAATCGACTTATTTCTTTCTATAAATTAACTTGGACCTGCCTACTAGCGCTCTAATCAAATCGATGGATCGCAAAGGTTTAAAGCTTCTTCCTTGAGAAACTGAGAATAATTAGCTCTCTTAATAGAACATTTAATCAATTACTTCTAGAAAGAGAAGACCAGTTCATCTCTCGAAAACGAAGAATTTATCACGAACATTTCATTTTAGAAGTTTCGTTTTATTTTCATGGAGGATATCATCGGTTGTGTCGTTAATAGTGGACCACCCAGTATACGTGGACAGCAGTAGAATACAAGAAGCGTATACAAGTGGTACCCTGTGGTCTTGTTCGCGTGGCGTGTGTCTAACGTGTCTAAAGTGTCTAAAGCTGGCATGCCCAGCTGGAGCGTTGGCGAACACGAGCGTTCGCTATGGCTCGCGAGCAGCTCCGCCAGCTAGGGCTAACAGAGATGGCGTCCGGCGTTCCATCTCGCGATTGTCGCCCGTGGAAGCCCTACTCGCGAGCCTTGGCTCGCTCTTTGCTCCCCACAGGCCGAAGACGGCTTATTATGCGAGCAACTGGGCGTACCTGAACTAAGCGTGTGTTTCTTTTTGACCACGATGTATTCTCGATTGTAATTAGTGATAGGTTGTCTGTCGGAAATTAGTTATGCAGTCGCCATTGTAGAGACAAATGTTTGTGGACGTGTTAGTTTAGCCGGGAGCGAAGGGGGATTTTTGTGTACAGAGTGCTCCGAAGTTGAATTGTTTGTAGATATTTACGTTTCAGTTTCATTTCATGGTTTCCATGGTTTTCCATGGTTTCATGGTATGTATTAATGAAACTCCATACTTTGGAACACTTTGTAAGACCATTAATATATTCGGGATCACTTGTAAAGTGTTTTAGTTGGTGTTTACAGAATGAAAATTATTTTTGAAGTAAAAGAAGTGATGAATGTAAATATTTGTTTTTTGAAAAATGGTCCCGAATACTTGAGCGGATAAGTGGTTTCGATGGAAGTAATTTGGTGAAGTATAAAATCTCTGGCGACGGATTCAAGTTAGTGGATTCATTAGAGAAATGATATGTACGTAAAGTATATAAGGTGAAGAATTAAAAAAGGCAGATGTAGAATTATTCAAAGATGTTAATGAAAATAAGGGTAACGTAATTATATAGAATAACCAGAGATTTTATAATTACTTCCGCCTTGATTTAATCAGGTACACAGAGTGATCCCTCAATAAAACCAATAACTTACATCAAACGCCGTTCGTTATCGATGCAATAATGTCAAATAAATAATAAAAAACAAATAATAGATTTGGTAAAAGTACCAAAGAAAATGTCCCCTTCCAGCGTCGAGAATATTCAGAGATAACTTCTCGAATCTAGAATCACAATTTCGTAAATTCAAGAAACTCAAGAATCTTCAATTAAGATTTCATTGAAAATCACCCTGACGCACAGTGCGGCCAAATGGTCATTTTCTGGACAAAACTCGATAACTTAAAAAATGTGAGCGATATAAACAAACGTTTCTGACAGAAGTTGTGAGGTACAGAGCTAAATATATGGTGGTCATATTTTTCTTTACATTATGTATATATTATGAAGCTTTTTCAATGACAATAGATATGTTGCGTTCCAATTCCAACGTTATATAAATAGAGAAACGGAATTTATTCGCACAAAATTGTTATTTGTGAGATGAAAATCATTTCATATAGCTTAACAACACATTAACCTTCAATAATAATAAATCAATAATAATAAATAGCTTCCCTTCAATTTCCCTTACGCGAACAGTCAAATTTACCAGTTTCGTCCACAGAAGGCCGCACCATGCGACATCCAAACGATTGCCCTCGAAACAAACGGACCACTCTGTATACAAAGCAACGACCACCAGTCCCGCGACGGTGGTCGTCGTCGCGAACAAGCGACACATATACACGGTGTCGGAAAACCGTCCCCCAATCGATCGACCGAGGAAACGTGGAACGCGACGTTCATGACAGCGCAATATTATTGAAATCGTCTAATTAATGTCTCGAATCGATGTACACCGTGGCGCTCGTCGGTGCG